GAACCCAAAAGGGCCGGGTCGGGGTGCCAGATGCTGCCTGGGGGTGCAGCCCCCCCGCAGGTGCTAAGCTCAGCTGGAGGCTCCAGTCCCTCAGCCTGGAGGAGCCCGGCAACCAGAGTCCCCTTCACACCCACCTCCCCGCCTCAGTTTCCCTAGAAGTCCAGGGTCAAGGTGGGACCCACTATGCCATCCCTAGGGGCCTCTCCAAAGAGGTGACGAGCCTTGAGCCTGAAGAATCTGTTTATTTTGGGGAAGGGGGAGGCCCAGGGAGACACCCGACTGGGGATGGGGAGTGGGGGAAGGGCAGGAAGGGGTGACCCAGGGCGTGGGGAAAAGAAGGGGCCGTGGGTCTGGACACCTCGGCGTGCCGAGGCCTGCTGCTCCGGCTCGCCCTGCACAGACAGGAAAGGCGTGGTTACGCCACCCGCCCTCCGCAGATGCCCCCAGCTGCCGCAAACGCACAGTAGGGCACCACTCCCGCCAGTTCACGAATCACTGTGAGGCCCATGTGAGCTAATTCTGCCACCAAAATTTCTGAAAATATGGAAACACCCCCACAGCTCCACACTGCTCCCCCGGAGGCCCCGGGCTGCCTTCCTCAGGATCCTGGGGACCCAGCCGCACTGCCCAGCGCCTCGCTCACTCGCTGGCCGGCAGTGAGGGGGCTGGCATGGAAGAAGGCTCCAGAATGACCACTGCAAAGCCACAGCACCTGAGGCCCCCATGAGGCCCTGTACCCCAAAAGCTGCTTTTTCTTTTTAAGATAATCTGGGAGGCAGAGCGCAGACCAGAAAGAAGGGCTCACACTCTGCAGACAGAACCTTCCGGGGGCGATTTCCCTCCTTCCCCTGCCCCCTCCCCCCATCCGGTAACATTCCTGAAACAAACAACCACACGTGTGGTCGTGTGGTCGTGTGGTCGGAGACAGAGCCGAGATGCTGGGACCCACGAAAAGTCAAAGCAGCCCAAATGTCCCCAATGCCACTGGATAAATGGCCTGGACAGTCAGGGAGAGCAGGATGACCTGAGGGGTGCAGGCGGCATAGACCGTGGGATAAGGAGGAAGCCCCCACTGTGCCGACGCCTGTCCCGCCAGGAGAGGTCACAGGGTGGCCTCCTGACGCTGGTGACGGTCATGTCGTAGCCGTTATTTATGATTAGGTTCTCGACTTCTCCGCGACGAACTTGGCTACAGAACCCTATGGTTTCCCAGTGTCTATTTGAGAGAAGGTGTTCCCCTAGAGCCCACCTGCAGCCATGTCCCTAGGGGTCCCGGGGACCCAGCCCTGCGATGACAGAGGTGGTGGTTCCTCCGTCATCATCTGAGAGAGAGGAGAAGGCTCAAGGCAGGCCCTGTGCCCTGGGCGAGGAGGGGCTATGGGGACACAGAATGTTCTGGTTGGACATGATCTCCCCACCCGAGTCCGCCTGGAACTCTGCGTGCGATCCTACTTAGAAATAGCGTCTTTCAGACGCAATTAGTTAAGAACCTCAGAATGAGATGGCCCTGGGTTAGGGAGGGCCCTACACCCAATGACTGGCATCCTAATAAGAAGAGGGACGTTTGGACACAGACACACAGAGAGAAGACACGCATGTGACAAGGGACGCAGAGATGGGAGTGACGTGTCTACAAGCCAAGGGACGCCAAGGATGGCCGGCACCGCCAGAAGCTGGAAGAGACAAGGTCTCCTTGAGAGCCCCGAGAAGGAGCCAGCCCCGCCCACACCTTGATTTTGGACCTGTGGCCTCCAGACCTGTGAGAGACTGTGTGTTGTTTTAAGCTACCCAGTTTGTGGTGATTTGTAATGGCAGCCCTAGGAAATCAGGGGAGGCTTCCTGGAAGAGGTGATGTGTAAGCTGAGGCCTGAAGCAGACAAACCAGGCAGAACAATTAGAAGCGGATGGGGCGGGGCGGGGTTCTTTGGATCGAAGGCAGCAGGGGCAGATCACGCAGGCCTTGCAGAATGGGAGGGAGCAGTTACCTCGTCCCCCACCTGGGAAGGAAGAAGGCGGGTCTCCAGAAGTGTCAGGGTGCCTCCTTGGCCCCTGAGGAGCACGCATCTGTGGGAAGGTGGACAGTCGGTGAAAGGCTGAGCTGGCCGGGACGGCCTACTGCTTCCTGCAGCCCCCAGCCAGCCGGGACCCTGCGATCTTGTACAGGCACCCCGCGGCTGGGGCCAAAAGACTCCCTCTCCGGCTCCCCAAAACCTCTCCCTTGGCGTGTGTTGGGGGAAGAAGGGGCTGTGGGCAGGAGTGGCTAGAGGAGCTGCCCGTCTCCCCTCAGACCGCCTCCCGCCTGCACGCTCTGGGGGTCCGGAAGGCGGCTGCAGGCGGGGCTCGGGGCGGGGCTCGGGCGCTACCTGACTTGGGCAGCAGGACCATCATGTCGTCGGGGAGCCCCACGGTGGGGTAGAAGTCCCGAAAGGCCTTCAGCGCCTGGGGGCTCGCTTCCTGGGTCCGGCCTGGGGCGGAGCAGGGGCCGCGGTGAACCCCGTGGCTGACGGTGGTGCAGGGGACGGAGAGACAGGGTCTCCTGGCCTCACTGCACCCCCTTGAGGGCTGACAGCAGGTCTGGCACCCGAGGTGCGGCATGTTGGGCGGGGCCCAAAGCGCCCGCCTGGCTGAGGGACCAGTGGGGACGGGAAGCGGCCGCGAGGGTTGCCCTTTCCTAATTCACACGAGGCGTCCAGGAGGCCGGGGGGCCCCGGCTGCTCTCCCCAGCCACGTTCCCCGGTCCCCGCCCAAACTTGGGCACCCTTTCCCGCCGCTCCCAAGGCCACCCTCCAACCTCGCCCTGGCCTCTCCACCTTAGGGGGCCCCTGGCCCACTCTGCCAATCTCCTCGGAAATTAAAACAAAATAGGCTCTCAGCCCCGGTTCAGGGTCTCAGGCAACGGGGAAATGCAAGTCCCCAGCCTCGGGAGGCCTTCAGGGCCCCCTCCAGTCGACCACTACTCATCCAAAGCACCGTGGAATCCCGCCGCCCGCACCCCACGCACCCCTGACCCTCGAGGGCCCAGACTCGGGAGTGTGAGACCAGGTGGAGCAGAGGAGGACTTGGGGCGTCCTGAAGGGGCGGGGCCAGGGCCAGGGGAGGGCGGGGCAGGGGCCGGGGCGCGCCTCACTGTAGAGCTGCACCATGGTGCTGAGCGCCCCCTCCAGCTCCTTGTAGATGTAGACCACCGCGAAGGCGCTGTAGTCCGTGTCCACCACGCGCACGTCCAGGTAGCCTAGGACTGAGGACAAGGAGAAGTGCACAGGGCCCAGGCAGCCGCGCAGCCCACGCCGGCCTCGGCTTGGAGGGGGAGGGGAGGGGAGCTAGCAGATGGTGATGGAGGCAGGGGACCCTGGATGCAGGGACAGTCCCATGTCACCCCATGGGGAAGCGGCCTCAGGCACCCCTGACGGCGGGTGGGGCGGGTCCTACCTGGGACTCTGAAGTGCCCCTCGGAGCCCACCTTCAAGTACTCGGCATCCACCTGGTGACAGCCCTCAGCCCTGGGGGCGCACAGCGCTCTCACTCTCTGCAGCTGCCGGGGTTCACCCCGCCAGCCAGGGGCGCCCCGTCCCCACCGCGCTCACCCAGGGAACTCCATGTGGACGTGGAGGTTGCCCTCTGCGGTGGCTGTGACCGCTCTGGTGGACATCAGCAGGTGATCCTTCTTGCCCAGGAAGACCTTGCAGTCGGACACCATGGAGACGACGAACCAGAGGCCTGAGAACTGCGAAGCAGCCGGGTGACCGCAGGCCCGGGTGACCGCAGGCCCGGGCGGCGCGGGTCTTAAGCCGGACAACCCGGAACCGGGCGGGACCTGCCTGAAGCTGCACGGTTGGGTCCCCAGAGTGTCCACCTCTTGGGTCTGAGCCCGGGCTGGACGAGAGCCCTGTTCTGCACTCCCCTGGGGCCAGTCACATCACTTGTGAGCCTCGGTACCCGCTGTGGAATGGCTCAGTAATCACCCCCACACGAGGTGGCTTCGGGGTCACATGAGAGCGAGTTACAGGGTTTGCAGGCCTGAGGTGCGGCAGCCAGAGGCAGCTGTTACTGTCACCCCCTTGTTGTTGTCTCCAGCAGGGGCTCAGCCCCCAGCCCCACCCGCGGCACGCACCAAGGCTCCTGTACCTTCTGGGCATCAAAGTCTGGCTGCACCAGGACCTCGGCCTGAGCCGCGGACACCCAGAGGAGCGCCAGGACCCAGCCCAGCAGGACGGACATCATTCCCATGCCTGTCCTCAGCCCCTGGCTCCGTCCTGGCCCTAGCAGGCCCGGCTTTATAGCCCAGCCCATCGCGGGCTGGCCAGACAAGCAGGTGGGGAAAGGCCTGGGCCGGAAACTCCAGCCCTCCTTTGTCCATTGTTTGGCACAATCAGGCCAGTGTCCTCCCTGGCTCCAGGGGTCATTTCCTGGAGGACTCCAGAGAGCCGCGCTCTCACCTGGCTCCCCGGAGCTGCGGATTTGCCCCCCAGATCTGCCAGGCAGTCCTGGGGGCCCAAGCAGAGACTCTTGGCCTGCTGGGACTTGAAACCTGAGCACCTCTGTCTGCTTCCGGCCTGGCTGGGGCTGGGAGCCCGGGCCTTCGGGGGTGCCACTGGGATGCCGCCAGGCTCAGGAACGCTCCGGCCAGAGGGTCTCGCTCAGGGCCTGGCCTCCAGGGTCCTCGCTCCCTCTCTTCTTGCAAATGAGTGGAGTCACCACTGGACCTTGTATGGGAGCAGAGCCTGCAGCAGGACAACGGTGGCCGAGGTGATGTCAGAGGCCTGAGTGCCCCTTATCCAGACCCCCACGGCTCCCACACGGCCACCAGCTGGGCCGCCAGCAAGCGTCTGGAGCGTGGGGCCGAGCCGCCACTCAGGGTGGATTAGGGTCTTGAAACCACCTTATCACTGGTTGTATAAGTGTGTGGGCGAGACAGTCGCCAGGGAGGCACCATGCACAGGCGGGAGCTTGATCTGGCAAGGCCCCTGCAGGTGACATCTCCTGTCCACACAGAGCACCCAGGGACACTGCAAGGTGCAGCACATGACCTCGGACACACCGCCCAGTCGCCTCTGGTCAGGGGCAGGGCTCCCCAGGGAGGACCATCACTACTAGTGCTCTGGAGTGGATGGGGTACTGGGTCAGAGAAAGGCCCCCCCTAACACACACACACGTGGGGGATGGGTGGAGCCCAGGCTTCCCTCAGCCTCTCCTGGGTTTCAGGAGGCGCCAGCTTTCAACCGAGTCCCAGCCACCAGACGGAATGCAGTCAAAGCCTTCCCACAAAAATATTTACAAAACACGCAGCTGATAAAGGGCTTAGATCCAGAATCTACAAAGAACTCTCAAGACTCCATAATTAAAAAAAACAACAACAAAGAAACGCCCAATTAAACAAAAAAAAAAAAAAACAGGGAAAAGATTTTAAAAAGACATTTCACCAAGAAGATATTCCGATGGAAAATAAACACATGCACAGATGCTCCACTCCACCTGTCCTGGGGAGACGCAGACTGAAACCATCTGAGACACAACCACAGGGCCAGGGCCGTGCAAGGGCAGCAAATCTGTCAATGAACATGTTGCAGTGGAGGGGGGGGGGCGGGAGGGAGCTGCATCCTGGACGCCCCTTGGCGGCATCTTACGAAGTTCAGTGCTCCTTGGCCATCTGATTCAACAATCACGCACCTCAGTATTTACCCCAGAGAAATGTACGCAAAACCCGCACCGGTGTTTCTGGGGCTTTATTTACTGTCACAGAGAAGTGCCACCAACCCAATGTGCTTCCTCGGGAGTGGGCGAAGGAGCTGCCGCTGTGACGGGCACGTCTCAGGAGCAGCCGGAACCAACGCCGGTTCACGCAGCAGCTCAGATAAACACCAGATGCGTTATGCCGAGGGAGAGACACCCGTGTGACAGGCTACCCACCGGGACCTTCTAGGACATTCTAGAAAAGGCAAACCCATAGGGGTAGAAAGCCGCTCTGTGGTGGCTGGGGCCGATGTGGCGGTGTGGCTGACGACAGGGACATGCTGGGACTTCTGGGGTGACAGACGGTGGTGGTCATGTGACTGCGTTTGTCTAAAAGTACAGAGCTGTGCCCCTAAAAGGGTGAGTTCTACTGTACGTAAATTATACCTCAATTTTAAAAGCATATATAAGCTACATACGTATATAAAACCTTCCCCAATGCTGCCTCTTGTGTTGAGGGCAGGGTAGCCTTTGTAAATCCCCAGCTACAAGTCCAAAGTGCCAGGGAAAGGGTGGGGGCAGGGATGGGGCAGGGCAGACCCAGGACCCCCGAGCATGGGACTGTTGGGCCAGAGCGAAGGTTCGGTCCTTCCTAGGTCAGCAAGGACCAAGGGGCAGCCGGCTGCTTCTCCTGCTAATCTGACACCTGATGTT